AGTGACAGACCTGTCAAATGACTCCCATTTTACTACTTGGGACTTACAGAATGCTATTTGGAGCTGTGCAACTTGGAAAAACTTCACCATAAATCAGAATTCCCCTGTGACACTTCACTTTGAAGCATTCTTGCTTAAGGAAAGGCAAGTGTGTTTGAAATATCTTTTATACTTCAATGCTGTTTTAACTTTTGAGTGACTCTAGAATCTTAGTTGATTACAAATGACATCCTAACAGGTATCACTGATAATACTTCTGCTAAGGGCAGAGACTGAGTCTTTCTCATCTTTCCTCTCCTAGTTCTTGGTAATGCCTATTAAAATGTTAGCTATCTAGAATCCTTGAGAAATAAACTATTCTGGATAAATGTCCTTTACAGATAACTAAGGGTTAAAATTTTATGTACTACAAAGGAAATGTTACTATTATTACTAACACCAACCCCCATCAACCATCTGTAATTTTTGTTTCAGGAAGTATTCATACAACAGGATGAGATAGGAAATGATATTAATCTCCATTTCACAGAGGAAGGAGTTGTGGTCCAGAGCTATGCTAACCCATGTCTCACAACTTATATTGAAAAGGGACTGAATAAGGCCTAGATTTGAATCTAGTTCCAACTCCACAATTCTTAACTAAAAGCATTATTATTACTGAAAACTACTATGAATTTCTTGGACTTACAAAAAGAATATTCTAGGGGCTGGGGTTGTGGCTCAGTGGTAGAGCACTTACCTAGTGCTTGTGAGGCCCTAGGTTCAATCCTCAGCACCACATATAAATAAATAAAATAAAGGTATTGTGTCCAACTATAATTAAAAAATAGTTTAAATGTTTTAAAAAAGAATATTCTAGACATTTCCATTTAGAAATGAGACTAATATAGCACTTATTAGAAAGTGTTATAATTATTTATATTACTATCTCCTTCTATTAGACCGTGAGAATCTTGAGAACTTAATCATTTTTGTGTCCTCGGACCTCAGCATAGGCCATAGTTCATAGGAGGCTTTCAGTAAATGACTGTTAAAATAATGGAAAAAAAAGGATGAATGAGTGTCATTATCATCAAAATTAGTTACTGGGATATGCTAAAAATATAGAAGTAGAAATAGATGTAGATTATTGTGTATAGAGCTAATATAAGGTAATGTTTTTAATCCTTATACTTGAATCTTGCTTTCTTTTAGAAAAGTTCTAGATATCTTTTTTTTTTTTTTTTTGCTCATTTCTTTCAACATTCAATTAGTATTTACTAATAGTTATATTCTGGGCACATAAAACTGTTGGGTGCTTGCAAATAAAAGAAGCATAGATTTGAAGCATCTTCTAGTCATTTTCTTATAAAGGACTGAAGCTGGTACAGCTGAACCTCTTTTGGGAGGTTATCATAGGGAATTTTCTGGCTTTAAACAGAATCCTCTTCTTTACTGTTCTATTTATATTGACCTGTCGGCATGATTTATGCCTCATTAATACAGTGAATAGCAGATACTTCTGGTTAGCTTCTATCCACCCTCTGGTTCACTTAGATTGTCAGTTCATGGAGTGAGGAGAAATAGCCTATTATTTACCCTGTAATTATCAAACCTGGCTGATCATCAGAAGGTATCTCCGGAGCTTTTGGAGACTTTTCAGCCATTATTGTCTCATCAAATATTTTCTCTCTCCTGTTCTCTATATTCCTGTGGGAATTGGAGTTCAGGGAATCATTACAAACATCTGACATTCTCACTACTCTAAGAAAACCTTTTCATTTCTTACCCACGTGTCTCCAGTCTTCTGTCAGCTCCATGAAGCTAACCTAAAATTAGAATAAAAGCATAGACCCTTCTGAGATACTCAACTAATCATGGCTATGCCATTGATCAGGTTTTCTAAGATTTGTTTGGAACTGGATCATCAGGTATGTTTGAATTTTCCCTTTTTACTATCAGCTGTTCTGCATCATTCCATGAATATTCTGAAAGTTGAGCATATCTTAGAGGCCTTACTCTCAAAACCAATGTTTGTTCTCAAACCTATGCCAGAAAGGAATAATTTCCCCCCTGGAAACATGGTTGTATCTTTTTACCTGTAATAAATGAAAAAACACAGACTTTATCAGAACTGGAACTTGTTATAGGGTCTAGGCCTCCAGGGACTAGGTTGGAAACTTAACAGCTGCCCCTTTTCAGAAGCCTCCTGCCATCTCCCCCTGCTCCCCCTCCACAAATTTGTTTTATTTCAGTTCTCCCCCTCCACCCCCCCAGCCCCGCAAACTGAAAAATTGAGCCATTAACTTTGTTTCTTAATGTTTTATTTAGAAGTAATTTCAAACTTAAAAGTTACAAGAATGAGAATAGTACAAAGAACACCCATATATCTTAATCCAGATATACCTATTATTCACTTTTTACCGAATTTCTCTTATCAGTTACTCTACATGTGTGATCCTGTGTGTGGTGCAGGTACCTGTTTGCATTTGTGAGGGGGAGGGGGCCCTGGGGATTGAACCTAAGGGCACTTTACAGCTGAATCATATCCCAGCCCTTTTTAGTTTTTGAGACAGTCTTCCTAAGTTACTTGAGGGCCTCACTACATTGCTCAAACTGGCCTGGAACTTGCAGTCTTCCTTCCTCAGCCTCCTGAATAAACATTTGCACTTTTTAAACCAACCTGAGAGTGATACACATTCGGGCCATTCATTTTTTTTATAAGCTTACACTTGAGGTTTACCTTTTTCCCAATTCTATTCTGTTGCAAATAATAGTAGCCTGAAGTTTTATGTACTTGGGATGCCTTTGAGAACCTAAGGAACTTGGTAGATGAGGGTGTGGGCAAGCAAATAGCTATTTCTGCTTCACAGGAATTTACATTTTACATTATGGTTCCACATGAATATAATACATTAGTGTCTTCAAAGCATTTTTTTAGGTACCATTAAATTTGTTTTATTTCAGTTCTCCCTTAGTTTAGGATATAATTTAAAGTTTCATGGTTTCTACCATTATTTGGAATAAAATTTTAAAAATATTAATAATCTCAAAAAGCTTATATGTTGGTTTATATATGTATGATTTGTATTAGAAACTTGCAGCAAAGGAACTTCAACTGATTAGCTCACATTGAAAACATTAGCAAGTGCTAATACTACACAAATTATATTATTTATGGCTTGTAGTAGCTTTGTGGTACCAGTCTGATGCACACAAAAAGAAAAGTAGCTTAAAGAAAAGGTAGGTACAGATGAACCATTTGATAACTGAGATTAATTATTTTAATTATCTGGGATTCTGTGCACATATCCTTGGCACCACTATAATGTCAAGTAAATAAGATAGAAAATATTCTCTGAATATTTTAATGAAATATAACACTGAAACCTGGATAGAGATGGGCAGAAATTGTAACTAGGTTGCTTATGCTTTGTTTAGTGCCAGATCCACATTAATTCCATAGTTAGTTTTGAGAAAAAGAAGAGCTGGTTTTAATTAGGATTTAAGTTCCCTGCTGTGATTTGTGCTTAAACAAGAAAAAGAGAATGTCAAGTTGACTTGAAATGACACAGAAGCTATCTTCCTAAGAAAATAGAGCCAGGAACTTCTTACCATAATTTTACATTGTTAAGGCAAATAAATGATTCTATCAAAATTACATCTAACTTTAAGAAAATATCTCAACTACCTTGTTACAGAAAAGGCTGGAAGGCAATTTCTATTTGTTATACATAAAATTTATAAACTGTATTATTGATATATTGTCTACCTAGCTTAAGAAATATATACTAAACAATATTTTATTATACATATATGTATTTATTATGAATATATACACATGTATATTTATAACTATATTTCATAGATATGTGTGTATATAGAAATAGACCAGGAAAATGTTGGTGCTATCCCTTAGAAATATATAGCATTTTTTGTGCATAGCTTTCAAACTTTGTATTCATGGTACAAATGTGGCTTGCATTTTTTTCAACAATAAGTTTGTGAGTTTCATCAATGATGATATATTGACTCTAGTTCATTCATTGTTACTGTCAGAATAATATTCCAGTGTAGGAACAGACTGTAACTTATTTATTCTCTTCTTAATGACATTTGAACCTAACAGTGACAGGACATGGTGGTGCACATCTGTAATCCCTGTGACTTGGGGAGCTGAAGCAGGAGGCCAGCCTGGACAACTTATCAAGAGACCCTTTCTCAAAATTAAATGGGTTGGGATGAACCTCCTGGGTTCAGTACTTCCCCCATCCTTTTCTCTTCCCCCCCAAAAACAAGGGGGGAATAAACTTAAAGGTTATAAATCACTAAGGGAAGATAGTTGGCTCTAAATGTACCTTAGGTAAGGCCTGGGGCCAGGAGAGAAAGGCCTGCTAGATGATATCCTAGCAGAGCCCAGAAGACAACAGGCAGGTTGGCCCAGAAAGCCAGAAGGACAGTTTGATGTCAGTGGGTTGGGCTCAGACAGGAAAATACCTTCTTATCCACAGACAAAGGCAACCTGTCTGAAAGGGAGAACAACCTAGCACAGGGTTAAAAAGCACTCAGAGCAAGCAAACCGCACCCTCTTTTCCCCTCCCCTCCCCAACAACTGAAAACTAGGAAAGGGAAGCACAAACACAGAGTGGTCTGAAGGAGACAGTCTAATCTGCCTCAATATTGTTTTCAGTTACTCAGGATGTACTTCCTCCTACAGTAAAGATCACAACCACGCCTTGTTTCAGAGGAAGGGGAAGGGATGGGGGCTCAACTAAGAAGAAAAACTAAAGAATAATCCTAAAGCCAAGGAAGCTGTTAACAGGGAAAATTTACCCTGCTTCCCTTTTGATGGGGGAGGTGAGGTGGAGGGAATTGGGGATTCATGAATAGTAGCTAAAAGTAAACCAAAAGCAAAAGACTTAACCATGACCAAAGAGCAAGACTTTGGGGAAGGGAGATGCCACTGGGAAGCAGCTCTTAGGTTTCATCAAAAGGTTTAAAATATATATATATATATTGAAGTGGTAGCTTTGGCAGCACATATACTAAAATTGGAACAATACAGAGAAGATTAGCATGGCCCTGCACAAGGATGACATGCAAATTCGTGAAGCACTTCATATTTTTTTGATGAAATTTTTTTAAATAAAAACAATTAAAGATAACCACAATTCCCTTTTTTTAGGAAGGGAACACTTAATCATTTTTAAGAGTTAAAATATATATTCAGATTCTTAAAAATCGGATAGGCATAATCCCAATTATGCACATACAAACATAACACTTAGATATATCAAAATATTTCAAGAACGTGGGATTATTTTTTCTATGAGTTAACATGCAATTTCTATGAACCTTTATAGAAAACTTTGAAATATTTTCTATATTTCAAAAAACTCTGAAACCATATTTTAGAGTTTTAAAAAAGTCTATTGAAGACCATACTGATGCTGGGTTAGACTCACTAGCTAAGGGGTAGGAAAGAAGGAAAGAAACACACATATGTGTATGTGTGGACATATGTACAGGCAGAGAAAAAGAGACTTAATTACTTTCATTTATCTTTCCAGAATAGATTTCCCACCTCACTCCCAAGGCCCCTCTCCCTCTCTTCTCATGCCCCAAGTGCCCTTCCTAACTACCTCAAACTTGGCGCTGTTCTGCAGCTACCATTTCTGTCTCCTCTGAGCAGAAGCAAATGCTTCACCCCATCCCATCAACAAACTCACCAGTTCTCTTCCTTTTCTCCAGGGGCTTATTGTATCCTATCAGTAATCTAGTTATCAAAAAGGTTTATCACTAAGAATTTACTACCTTTAGGATCTTTTACAGAAGGTATTAAAGACCAGAAAAGCTAGATGAAAAGAATGATAACTAACAGGTGATTTTTGGCATTTTGAAAAAGTGTGGGGCCAAGATTTACTGATGCCTCTCAGCTCATGCCCAAGAGCTGAGATTATGGATTGATTGTATGGCCTGGGGTGTCTTGTCTTTTCCTACTGAGCCCATAAGTGACATCTCAACAAATGCAGCTATGGAGGAAGGAGCATTGTGTTTAATCCAGCTGTGGTGGCCAGCTGAGCTTTCCTAGTCCCTCTGCTGCATGTTCTATGACCCTGAAGAACCTTGTATTTTTCTTTGGTAAAACTCATATTATTCTGGATGTGGCCTTTTGAAATGTTTGGATAAATCATGGCAAGCAGTCATGATTGTGAGATCTAGTCCTTCTAGAAATAGAGTGAAATAATAAAAGATTAGGAAATAAGAATAGGGTCTGAAACAGAGCCATCCCTAAGATGGTTTAAAGTTAAGATACTTCAGTTTCTCGAAAAGTTAAAGAATATATATATTCTTTAACATATATATATATATAATACTTGTAGATTTATATAATATATTCTGTTAGCATGAGCTACCTTTTAGACATATTTTATGTGCTTCTGTAATTTATCAACAAGATTTATTAGACTTCTGACATCACTACTTGATTCATCCCTGTGTTTTCAGCAGGAAATAATTTGTCTTTGCAAAGAAAATGTGCAGTCTCTGGAGTTCTTTCAAAATGCTCTATTTTGAATACCTAAAAATAATGCTATCAAAGTCCTTTTTTTATCAATAGCAGTACCAACTGTCTTAAGGTAATATGTGACTTTAATTTAATGTTTGTTAGCTAAGCTAAAAGGTAAAAGTACTAAACTCACTGTTTCTTTACTGGAATCCTGCTTACCTCCACCAAAATAGAAACTGTTCAAAATTATATGGAATATAAAATTTTCCTGGTATGGTATTTTAGAAAAAAGCCATTCTAGTTAAATGCCAAAACACAAGAAGATGTGATATCTAAATGATGAAGCTTTTAAATAAAATATTCTCAACCTTCCAATTTAAATGCTTCAACAAATCAACAAACATTAATTAACATTTATGTGATAGGCATTTCATATAAAGAGAAAGCACATAGCATAAATATTCAACAAATATTTGTATAGCTCCATGGTGCAATAAAAGAAAACAGTGTGATGAACAAGACCCATTCAGCCAGTATCTATTCAGATGTTACCCAAGTCCTCAATGATATCAGTTTTCTCCAAACCCCAAGATATCACAGATCTGCCTTTCATTAAGATGATATTCACATGAGCTTTGTGACTCCTTTATCTGAAGGAATTCATGTTTACATGTCACCTCTATAAAATCTTAATTTAGTATACACATTTATTAAAAAAAGAAAAGATATGACATAAATGTGGAATATATATCCTATACAGTGGCTTATCGCTGCCTGTACCTCTTGCCAGGAGCCTGCATGAAAAAGACGACCAACAGCTTCTCACTGTTGGCTTGAGTTCAGCAGAAACTGGATCCCATGCCAGTGTGCACTGTGATAATGAAGGGGTACAAAAGGGAGGTTTATGGCTCCCTGATGGGCAATGGAAACCTAAAGACGACTGTCGGAGCTCCTGATGTCTGCTGTTTAGTGTCTGACTTACCTGCTAGGATTCCTTGCCACACGTGGATACCGTTTTTTAGGACTTGAGACACTGGAGAGAAACTTCATAGTAGAAGAAGGGAAAATAGCATTGAAAAAGAACTAATGCTTTTTTAAACCCACATCTTAATAAATTAAAATTAGTTACAAAATTGTCTGCAAAATCTGAATATGAAACAGTTCAGTGATTAGGTAAAACCATTAACGGCCAACATTCATATGGCACTGGCTATACTTCACATGTATTATGTCATTTCATCTTCAACCACCTATAGGGTAGGTACTGACTTAATAGAATCCAAGGACAGCAGGTAAAATAAGTATCATGAGGTTGCCTAAATAGCTATTGGTAGAGTTAGCTTTTGGTAAAAATTTCCTGAATAGGACCTCATTAACTCAGGAAATAAAAGGAACAATTGACAAATGGGATCTCATCAACTTACAAAGCTTCTGCACTGCAAAGGGAACAACAGTGAAGAGATGACCTACAAAATGGGGAAATATTTGTCAGCTATTCGCCTGACAGAGGATTAACATCCTGAATATATGAACAACTTCATAAATTTATTCTCCTTAGTCTTTCAATGAAAGAACAAGTAATACAATATAAAAATACAAGGAAGGAACAAATAACACAATTAAAAAATGAGCAAATGATATGTACAGATACTTCTCAAAAGTAGAGGAACAAATGACCAGTGAATATATGAAAAGTTCTTCAACATCTTTCATTGTCAGAGAAATAGACATCAAAACCATATTGAGATTCCATCTTACCCTGGTCAGAATGGCTATTATCAACAAAACAAAAAATAACAAATGCTGGCAAGGATGTGGGGAGAAAGGAACCCTTCTATGCTGTTAGTGAGGTTAGCAGCCCACTATGGAAATCAGTATGGAGGGTCCTCAAAACACTGAAAAACATATACCAGTCCCAGGTAATGAAGTCAGCATAAGTAAGATACCTGCACACCTGTGTTTGTTGTGGTACTATGCACAATAGCCATGTTGTGGAACCAGCTTAGGTGCCTGTCAGCAGATGAATGGATAAAGAAAATAGGGCATACGTATGCAATATTGTTCAGCCTTGAAAAAGAACAAAATCATGTCATTTATAAGAAAATGGATGGAACTGGAAGTCATCGAGTTACCCCATGTTAAACAAAATAGGCCAGACACAGAAAGATGAATATCACATCTTCTGTCTCATGTGTGGAAACTTAAAAATAAATAAATAAAAATAAAATAAAGGCCAGACCTGAAAGTAGAGGAGGGACTTTTAGGGGAAAAGAAGGCCATGGGGGTGGGGGTGCAAGAGGGTGGTAGAGAGGTTGGATGTGATCAAAATACCATATATGTACATACGGGAATTTCACAATCAAACTCATTAACTTGCACAATTAATATGACTTGTTAATGATTTTTAAAAATAGAGTTAGCATTTGAACCCAAGTGGCTGGCTCCAGTGCCCATGCTCCTCACCTCTGCACCCACACTGCTTCTGATACAATGTGAATACTCTCAGTGTCCGCTGCCTGGAGGGGGTTAAGCAGTGAGTATCCTCTTTAGCTGGGCCTCTGCTTCGCCAGCTGGATTGGAATTGGTAACCGCCTCATTGAGTTCCTGGCTCTGGTCTGAGTGGCCGGGGCCATGATAATAGATCAGCTGTTTCAGTTACTGTCAACTGACCAGGGAGTGGAGAATGTCTCTTCAGAAGAGCCATGTGTCTCTATTAAGGTTTTGGATGTAGTAATGGAGTTTTCTCCCCTCTTCTACAAAACATTAAATGTTACAGAGTCCCAATAAAGGAGGACCCATTATAGACCACAGAAAATCCCACCAAAAGAGACTTAGGAATTATGGAACTGAATTATTCAACCTCTCTTGCTGGCTTTTAAAATAACTGTATGGTTGGCTAGAAGATAAGTATGCATTTCATACCCTAATAGGCCTAACATGCTGTCAGTGAGCAATAGTCTGTGTTCAGGCAAGAAAAGCTTTGAAATCAAGAGATCCCAATAGCAAATTTAACCTTGTGATTAACCAAACATTGTGTGACTTGAGGAACTACCAGTTTGTCTAAAGAAATTAACCCAGGGCCCATTAATTTCACTCTTGGAAGTATATTTTTTTCCTTTTCTTTTGGGGCTTTATTTCTTCTGAGTTTTTTTTTTTTTTTTAATGTAGCTTCCCCCCAGGAGAGGACACACAACTTTTGCCTCTATGAGCCCATACCTGATACTGTCCATCCCCAGGAGGAGTTGGATGACCCGCAGATCCATGGAGGAATTAATTTCACTCTTGGAAGTATATTTTTTTCCTTTTCTTTTGGGGCTTTATTTCTTCTGAGTTTTTTTTTTTTTGTTTTTTTTTTTAATGTAGCTTCCCCCCAGGAGAGGGCACACAACTTTTGCCTCTATGAGCCCATACCTGATACTGTCCATCCCCAGGAGGAGTTGGATGACCCTGGGATCTGTTAGAAGGGTGAAACAGAAAAGGTGTGGAGAAGGGCTGAAGACAAACTAACGCCTCACAGATTTTCCCAGGCCTGGCGCCTCCGAAATTTGATGAGTACAGTATTCAACCTAGAAAAAAATAAGGCTTTTGAAAGTCCTTTACAAAGAATGTCTTGTTTGAC